CTTGCTGAGGGTGCACTCAATCCCACTGTCCATGTCGCCGACAAAGATGTTGAACAGTGTTGGCCCCAGCACCGACCCCTGAGGGACACCATTCCTCACTGGCCTCCACGTGGGCACCAAGCCACTGACCACAACTCTCTGTGTGTGACCATCCAGCCAGTTCTCTATCCACCGAGTGCTCTACCCATCAAATCCATGTGTCTCCAATGTAGAGACAAGGATGTTGTATGAGAATGTCAAATGCCTTGCATAAGTCCAAGTCCAGGTAGGTGATACCAGTTGCTCTGCCCCATCCACAAATCCAGTGGCCCAGTCATAAAGGCCACCAAATTCATCAGGTAGAGAAATCATTCTCTGTGACTGTCCTGTCCTTTTTAAGCATACTTACTTATTTTTACAAAGTTCCTCTTTCAAGACCAAGCATAGTTTTGTTTTATCTGTGCTCTGGTTGCCATTTTAGTGTAACATGTTGACCCGTGCCCTGTGGTGCTTCTGGCAAAGGTCCAGGATGTTTTCCCTTTTGGTACAAGCTGCTGCAAGGAGCGCCTGGGGTGTGTTCTCAGCACTGTGCCCTGATGGGTACAGTGCTTCATTGTGTGCTGGTGGCTGAGAACTCTTGTTATTGCGCTGTTTCCTGGCTTTCTCACCTCTCCAGTTCCCACTGTGTGTCAGGCAGCCTTGCTGTTCTGAACAGGCCAACTGGGCCATTGACCCTGGCGTTTTCAGTCCATGGGGATGGTATTGTTTATCCATATGGTCAGATGGCTAATTTGATTAGTCTTTAAGCTCTCCCCGACTGGATTGGCAACTTGTACTGGCATACTGTGTCTTTCCTAACACCAGTGTTTTGCTCTTCAATTTCCCCTGCTGAATTTCCAGTACACCTCTGTGTGACCTCCCTGTTTACTGTTGGCCATTCCACTTTCCAGGCTGGATCCTCCTACCAGCTGTCAAAGCCACTGTTTGGGTTTTATCCTTCAGCTCTCCAGATGGTTTGTCCTGCTTGTTTTTCGGTTCCTATTTGGTTGTTTCCTAACATTTGGTTGCTGGCCTACATCACTGGCTGTGGTGGTGGCCCTGGGGTGTCTCTGGTGGGTGAGCAATCCTTGACGTGTCTCCCAGAGTTCCTTTTGTTGGAGAACGTGGTGCATCACTTCAAGCTTCCCTGCGTGCTTGATCTGAAGATGGGGACCAGACAGCACGGAGATGATGCGTCTGAGGAGAAGGCTGCTCGGCAGATGAAGAAATGTGAACAAAGCACTTCAGCCACCTTGGGTGTGCGTGTCTGTGGCATGCAGGTAGGGATCCCCCAGACTGCAGCTGCTGCACATTCCTTTGCACAGCCCCATTAAACCTCCCAGTTAGTGTTTTCTGCTGAGCACTGAGTTAGTCTCCCACTGCAGGTAGATACCCTAGCATTTATGCTTTTTTTTTCTTCATTTCTAAGCCTACAACAAAGGAACCCGCTTTTCCTGAGATGGCCTGCTTTGTCCAGAGCTGTTCTGTTCACAGACAATTAGGGGATTTTCTAATAAAACTGTGGCTTAGTGTTCAGCCATAATCATGGTGCTTGGGGAGCGAGGTGTCCAGTCTTTTCATTCTGTATTGCACTGAGAGTTAAGAAGTTGTTCTTCTGTGACTGAGCCCTGTGCACGAGGGTTTGCTGCTGGTGCTGTTGTGCAATAGTCCTTCCTTTCCCCACCCACGGACTCTGAAGCAATGAGGTCTCCTCCTTAATCACGTGATGCACAATGGCAGTACATGTCAGCAGCTCCTGCTGCCAGAGGATTGTCTGAGTTATTGTAAGACTTTGCTTTTTAACCCTTGAGGTCAGTTGTGCTGTGCCTTTTTGGGGCGCTACAACTGATGAGCCACCTTTTTAGTGTCCTGGGAGAGGACCTTGGGATTGGCACCTTGACTGTGCCCATGGGATGCACCCGTGAGCTGCTCCTTTGGGATTCAGGGAATAGGCTGAGCTGTTTCCTATTCCCTCTTGAGTATGGTGGGTACAGAATGAGGTCCCTCTGCCCTCTGTCAGTGCAGGACTGTTCAGGGCTTTGTGTGTGGCCTTAACCTGTTGCTCCCACATGATGTGCATTTCCTTTGGTGTTCCAGGTCTATCAGCTGGACACAGGGCATTACTTATGCAGGAATAAGTACTATGGACGTGGTCTTTCCATTGAGGGCTTCCGCAATGCCCTCTACCAGTATCTCCACAATGGCATTGAGCTGCGCAAGGACCTCTTTGAGCCCGTTCTTGCCAAACTGCGAAGCCTGAAGGCAGTTCTGGAGAGACAGGCCTCCTACCGCTTCTACTCCAGCTCCCTCCTCATCATTTACGACGGGAAGGACAGCCGGGCAGGGATGTTTGTGGAGCGCCGGGCGGAGCCGCGCCTGAAGCGGGTGGACAGCTCTGTCCCAGAGAGCCTGCAGGATGGCGGCGGCTCGGAGCCTGGCTCCGCGGCCCAGCCCAAGGTGGACGTGCGTATGATTGACTTTGCACACAGCACGTTCAAAGGCTTTCGTGACGACCCCACTGTGCATGATGGACCCGACATGGGTTATGTGTTTGGGCTGGAAAGCCTCATCAACATCATGGAACAGATGCGTGAGGAAAACCAGTAGCCCTGGGCTTACGGTCTCTTATTCTTGTCCTGGTGGCAGGAGCAGACAAGGCCACCTACTACCACAGGAAAAACACAGACCGCTTCGGTTTTAAAAATTGTATCGCCCTGTTATTTTTAAATGTACTTGGATAGAAGAGCTGAGGGGGAGGCAGGGTGGAAGAACTCCTCGTGCTGACCAGACAGTTCTGACCACACTAGCTCTGCCTTCTGGAGGAGGCTCTGCAGGTGCCTGCTGGGTGTTGGGTGTCCTCGTTCTACGCTCACTGCCTGTACATTCTGGAGGCAGGACCTGGATGTAGGGAAGAGAAAGCAGGAGAGCCTGGGGCTCTTGGAGGGCCTGGAGCTCTGGTATGAGGAGCCTCCTGCCTCAGGATCCCCTGGGAGAGCCTTCCCTTTTAATTTCTCCTGAGTTATTGGGAAAAGGAGCTCGACTAATGGTTGGCAGTGTCTTCGGGGCCACCATTGAGCAGTCAGGTGCCCATCCCTGTGTTTGGTGTCACTGGCTCTGCCCTGGGTTTTGCTGATTGGGCTTTGCTTTTGATGCTGCCTTTTTCTGCTGTTTGGGCACTGTGATTAGCCAGCCCAAACAGGGAAATGAAATGACCAAATGCAACCCCTGGCAGAGCTGCGGCCGGAAGGGAATGCCGCACACCTGGCGCTGTGCTCAAGCTCAGGGCCTGCTCGTTACATGACAGTGTGGCATGGGCAGGCATGGGGCCTCTGTGGGAGTTGCACTGCCCTGGACCACTGACCAAGCAAGCACTCAGCTCGTGGGCTAGCAATAGTATCTGTAGCAGTTAATGTGACCCCCAGATGTGCAGTGGGGCATTTCAGACCATTTCAGCCCTTCCCCTCCTGTAACGTTGGTCCCACAGGCGCAACCCAATCTGTCTCTCCAGTGGATGGCTGCCCTCTTCCCCCTGGAAGCCTCTGCCCAGGTGCTGTGCTCATCTGGCAGGTCTGGTGGTGGCGGGAGGGGAGACTGAGGGTTGGACCTGACTCCTGTCTCCCTGAGGGTCTCCAGAAGACCTGGCTGAGAGTGAGTGCCACTGCCTGCCTGTTTAGCTTTGCTTCATGGAGTCAGTCTTTCCCAAAATCGGTGTTCCTTGGCCTCCCTTGTTGAGTCATTAACGTTTGATACTGTGGCCTGGTGGTACTGGACCCTACCCTGCTCCACATCACTCCCCTGTTTCTGTGCTGGGGTCCCTGGCTGCTCCCATCTTGCTTTCACTGACTTGTTCCCTGGCGTTACCGTTATCCTGGGTACCCGCAAGGCCAGGGTTGGGTTTGGGTTCTTTTTTTAAAAAAAATTCTTCATGAAAGCTTGTCTGGGGCATGTTCGCATGTCGCATGTGTGCACAGCTTGCTCAGCCAGCTGTGGGCACAGGTCTGTGGCACTGGCATGGAAAGGGGCAAGTGCTGTGCCAGCTCTCTCCCTTCCCACACTGCTGTGGATGAGGACCTTTATCCATGGCATGCTGCCTCTGTGCTGGGTTACTTCATTGCTACTGCCAGGACTCACAGGAGTTTCAGGGAGTAGGTTCACAGAAGGGAGCGAGGCTAGCTGAGGGGCTGGGGTGTAGCTAGCAGGTGCCCCAGGTACCCATCTGGCCCTGCCCCAGCATGGCCTGTTGCTGCCCATCTCTGCATGACCTTGTCCCCAGCGGGCTGTGCTCGGGCAGGCCACCTCCTGGGGAGCCCCCAGGTGTCCCCCTGTGCCCACTCCTGCTGTTCCCCATTGCACTAGGCCGTGATGGATGGGCAATGCTGCCGGTGCCCCGTGGGAGCCACCCCCTCCCCCTCCTTCGGACCACCGCGGTAGAACGCTACAGCTTGTATATAGCCTTGGCCTTGTTTGTTTTTACATGGATAATCACCCTCTTTGTGCTTCACAGAGCATTAAAGAATCTGTTTTTG